AACTTCCAGATTTCTTATCGGTGGCCATGCTGGCAGTAGAATTCTGGGAGTTGAGGTTCTTATACCTAGAAATGGCCAAGGTTGGGAAACACTATCCAACAGCATCATTTGTGCAGTTTTCACACCTTGGAGGATCAATCACTTTTCTTGAAAAGAATGATATAATTTTGTCTACATAGTAGTTACAGTAGATCTTACCTGAACTACAGTGTAAGATACCTCATCTGAAGGAGTCACTGTCATGAAAGGAGAAGCATACCTTTAAAAGAAAAGTCTAATAGGGCTAATTATCTGCTCTCTCCTTATTACCACCCAGGTGTGCACAGATGAAGAATGAAGCTATGCACATGGTTGCCTGTACTCGGGTGAAGTATTTTTGAATCACTACTATATGTAATATTTACATTTGGACTGTGTTGAGACACAGGAATATGACTCAAGGCCTAACATGACTGAAGACTGCACAAGTGACAGGCGTCACTTTTACTGCTGCTGCTGTTTGTTTCCCTTGGCACCTGTTGTTCCCCCTGGCAGCCCCCATGAGTTTAAAGAAGCTGCATGTTTCAGTGAAAGTGCCATTACTACTGTATAATGGACCATGAACTTATTTTTGTCCTTTCTCTGTTTCTCAGATGACTGAGAACTGTAATGTTAATATGTAGGATTTTTGAACTTTTAGGTTCAAAAACAAAGTTAGTGTTATATCAGGCAGTCTGAACCTTATTTTTAATCTCCTGTTTGTTGAGTGCACTGACTGTGAACTTCTACTTTTCTGTTTTTGTTTTTTTTGTTTCTGTTTTTTATTGGCCAGCTTGATTTGTTATGCAGATGTTGATTGAAGAAATTTAAAAGCTTTTTCTCAATAAATGGTTTATTTTAGGAAGTCTTGTTTCCTATTTTGTTGTTGTTCCTACTTAAATGGCTATATCATTCTCATGAGTCTTATGTGAGGCTTGCACTTGTGTTTCAATGGTATAGGTATTTAAGCTATAGTTTGGATAGACTTTTCATTTTCATTTTTGGGAAGGTAAGTAGCACCCTTACTATTGCTCACAGGGATGTCCTTATATGTTGCCACCAAAACTCAGTTGAAGTGTGAATCCATATCTTTAAATGTAACTGATGTAGGAATCAGTTATGTCGCTCATCTGCAGTTATAGTCTTCAGTGACGTATCAGGCTATGGTTTTAATTCCTTACTATTACTGTGGTAGTTCATCAAACCAAAATTCAGAGTTGCAAGTGTTATGATAATAAATAATTCTTTTTGAATAGTTCAGTGGCTCATTTCCCTAACCAAGTACCAAGTATCAAATTTATCTCATAGAGAAAAGCGGTTGGCTAAGAATAGCTAAGTTGCATTATCAAAGCAAAAGTCTAGCAAAGAAGATTCTAATTCAATTCATGCACATTTGGCTACCATTATAAGGGCTTAAACTTAATGTTCGCAGTTCTCTAACACAGGAGGCTGAATTGCTAATTGCACGTTTAGATCAGATGTGGCTTTTCCCTGTACAATATCCATATTTACAGTTCTTTTAAAGACACATGCATGTATCACCCTTGATATACTGAAGTATGCTTATATTTAGCATTGATTCCTCAGCATCCTCCTATTTGTTAATGATGTGCTGAAAAATACATTTACAATCTCACATCTAAGTTTACTGCTATTTTAGCAACAATCAAGCTATACAGAGGCATTCATAACAGAATTCTCAAAACCAGAAAATTTGCCCCATTACAACACAAGTTGGTTGAGGTTTACTGCGGATTTTCTTTGGCATTTGGATATTACGATGACATTTGGGTTAAAAGTTGATTAAAACATGGCATCTAGGGTCAGTTCACTTTTTTAGACTGAGGGCAATGTTTTGTCAGAGAAGCACTAAATGTTTAATTTTGCTTACATTATACTCCATGTTTTGCATTTCATTTGGTTCTGGAAGTTGAAAGAAATTAAGGAGCAATAAGACACAGCTTTGTAAAATAACGTAATCCTGCTGTACACGAAATAACTTTTCTGTTTCCAAGAAATACATCAAAAATAACACTAGGCAGGAAGATCCACTTGGCATTCCGATCAACATTATCCATTGAAAAGAAAAGTTCAACAAGAGATTCTTTTTTCAAGTGAACTTTGAAAAGTGGTAAATGTAAGGGTGGAGAATCATAAGTCCATTAGAGTAATAAATAAATAAGTAATGGATTGAATGCAGCAGTAAAATGAAGTGTTTTGGAAATCACTAGTTTAGCATAACAGAAAAGTGAAACTAAATGAGGGAATTTTAAGACATTATCGTAAATGTCCCCATACTACAAGTAGTCCTCGACATTTAGATTGTTGCTTGAAAACCACTTACAGGTAGTCCTCAACTTAGGACTATAATTGAACCTAAAATTTATGTTGCTAAGAGAGAGAATTGCTAAGTGAGTTTTATGATATTTCTTGTCACAGTTAAGTGAATCCCTACAGTTAAGTTAGTTGTTTAGCGAATCTAGCTTCTTACTGACTTTGCTTGTCAGAAAATGGCAAAAGGTGATCACCCTGAAACACTGAAACCATCATATATCAGTCAATTGCCAAGCGTTTTGATAACATGACCATGGAGAAGCTGCAGTGGTTGTAAGTGTGAAAAACAGCCATAAATCATTTTTTTCAGTGAGCTTGTATCTTCAAACAATCAAATGAAATGTTGTAAGTTGAGGACTAACTTATATCAGGAATGAACTTACCTGCATACAGGTCCACTGGATTAATTGTAACAGACATGTTGAAAGCAACATAGCTAAGATAAAAGGACAAGCTAACCAAAAAAATCTGTTGCTTGGAGTCTGCTGTAAGTCGTCAAAGCTGTCAGAAGAGGAAAAGCAGGAATGATGTTTCAAAAAAATTGAAATGGTTTTGATGAAAGGTTTCAACTGTCCAGATATCTGCTAACAAGACTCATTCTGCCAAATATATCAGCTAAATTCTTGTGTTGCTGGTAATTTTCTCTTTCAAAAGTACAAGGATATTTCTGTTATCTTGGAATTGGTCTTTATTAACAGGTTCACTGAGTATTTTTAAATGGTTGGGTCATTGGGTTACTAACTACTAAAAACAGTCTATCTCAAACAACGTATTTTAGAATGCTAAACAAACCATCGTAGTATAAAAGTTGGTTTGTTACTTAAGCCACAGAACTACAGGGCGGGGCATAACCTTTTCCTAGGGGGTCACAGCAACACTTGTAATAACAACACAAATAATTCATACACCATTCGAAAGCCCATCAAAAACTGAGTTTATTGACACGATTTAATAGTCAGTATGACCACCATTAGCCCTTCGAACAGCATTCAAACGAGGTGGATAAGAACACAACAAATCTTCAAACAGTTCCGTTCGATTTTCCAGATTTTTCAACACAGTTTCCAAATTCATTCTCAAAGTTTCAACCGAATATCGATTTTGACCTTGCTCCTGAATCATCAGAGCTTCCACTTCATCCTTAATTATGGCCCCAATGTTCTCTGCCGGATTGAGATCTGGCAAATTTCCCGGCCAGACGTCATTGCCCCAAAATTCGACATTGTTTTCCTTTAACAATTGCTGAGTCGCATTTGCACGCATGCAAGGAGCTTTGTCATGAAGAAAGACAGCCTCACCAACCACCAAGACATTGTCTGGATCACTGAGAAATGGAATGACATTCTCCAATAAAATTTTCTCACGGAAATAACTGCCATCCCAGGATTCCCCTTTATCCTTCAAAACCCAATGCAGTTTCTTGGCTGTGAAAATGACGAAAATCCCGATGCAAGTCGGATTGCGAACGATTTGTCGATATCGTTCATGTTTGGCGATGTCGTCGATGTCTTTAGCCCAAATTCGATCGTTCTGGAAATTCGGTTTTCGAATGGCATAAACGAAGAATTCGTCAGATGGCGCCAAATGAAGAAAATCTTCCTCGGTCCATTCAGACAACCAATCGCACAACCAAAGCCGATCTTGAACGTGTGTTTGAGTTTTCAATGGTTTGCAAATGACGTGGAATGGCTTCAAACCTTCTCGTTCTCGATATCGGCCGATTGTCCTTTGATCAACTCGTTTTCCACGAATTTGAAGGATTTCTTGGGCCACTTTTCGGTTTCCTTTTCGTTGTTTGCGACTGCCAGTTGCAATGATGGCTTTGCTTTCTTGGGACAGTTGCAGAGGACGCCCTTCTCCAAATTTTGTGAAACATTCTTGGGCTGTTTTGTTCCAATTATCAGTAACCCAATCCGGATGACGTTTCAATTTGTTTGCAATCCATTTTCGATTGATAAACGTCGCTCCAGCATCGCGAGCCTCTCGAAAGGCAATGCATTTTATTCTGTCAATGATCCTTTGTTCTTCCGAATCGAATTTTCCAGCCATTCTTAAAGCAAATTTAACATTTAATAGCTCATTCAATTCAGTTTTTTATGGGCTTTAAAATGAGGTGTCGCGGAAGTTGTAAACTGCTGTCGATCTTGCTGTGACCCCCTAGGAAAAGGTTATGCCCCGCCCTGTATACACTTTTGTTTACAAATGAAAATAGCAAGTTTGCAATTTATTTGGTCTAAATCAAACAATCTACATTAGGGTCTGGTGTAATATATTATTATAATATGATAAAACTCCACAGGGAGACAGAATAGCAGCAGTGCAGATCTATATATCAAAGGGGCCAGAGTACTATCCAAGCTGAGAAATATTGTCAATATTCTAATATAAATCATTTTCATGGTCTATATATATATATATATATACTAGGAATACAGCCAATTTAACACCTGTATTTAAACTTGAAATGGGGAATTCTAGAAAAGATAGGGCATATAATTTCCTGTCTAATTTGGAAAGTAGCATTAGATAATTGTGCATAAGGAAATCAAATTTTAATGAATAAGAGTTTATAGAAATAACTTCTCTCGCTAATGTTTTGAGTTCATTGGGAGTGTTGATGCATGAATAACTGCATTGTGCTGCATACTGATATAAATGGACTTTCAAACAGCTTTACCTTCACTACAAAATTGGTATTAAAGAGGCAGTCTCTTACAGATTCATAATGATTAAAGAACAAGCAAAAAAAGTAAAATTGTTTTTTGTAGTAGAATGCAAGAAATAGATTTCTTTAGGATATGGAATTGTGAGGAGATGTAGAAACTTTCCAAATATAATAAAGGATTGAGAATGAATACTTGGAGCCAAGTGTGCAAAGGAATTAAACAAATGCAAATTTAAAAAATGGGATTGCAAAATAAAAGAGAAGTACATTCACTTCACTCTCTGAAGTGAATTGAAAACAAACTGGTAATACAAGTGTCTTGGCAAACTGAAAACAAATGTTAGGAGGAAAGTTGTCTTATTTTTATCAGGCTGGCCAGAGGATAAATATTTGGATAGTGCTAAGTAACTCAGTGAAAATACTACTCAAGAATCACTCATTGGTTAAAACAATTACTTCCACAAAAATAAAGAGATTATAGAAGTGAAACTAAACAAATTAAAATGCATTTGGAATACAGATTTCATAACAAGTATCTGGGCTTTCCAGAGGCAGCTTATTGGTCACAATTGGGAAATAAGCCACCAGACTAAAAAGAACAAAGTAAAATAGTTCTTATTTTTGTTAGTTAAATATATAAATTACTCATTTTTGCATCTTATAGGAAAGTAAATTTTATTTCATATTTTAATCCATTAAAGGTTCATTCAGAAAAAAAGAACATTCATTCATTCATTTGCTTCCTTCCTATACTATGTCTGCATATTTTCCCTTCCTTAATTAAAAAAAAAAAAGAACAGTTTCTTTGGAAAATCTGAGTTAAAAAAAGTATAGAAAAAAGTAAAGTAAATTGCAGAATATTGACTCTTGTTGCCAGCTGGAGCAGGGAAGGAGATGGATAGAGAAGAGATGTGACTTCAGGGAAGGCATGAGCTCTTTATAACAGATTCTGGGTCTTCATGATTGAAGACAGATGTGCACAGCAGTTCACAAGCTTGTTACTTTTGGGTATGAAGCAGTCTCTGGAGATTTCACTTTTGCTTCTCCTTGTGTTTATAGTTGCCGTAAGTGGAGCCTTTGTTAATTTCTGTTAGTCCTATCATCCATCGAACACCAACTGAAACTGAATTTTTTAAAAAAGAGGATATGTTAAAAACAGAGAAAAAAGGAGAAAACTAATAGCAAATTTGCTCTCATAAATGAGATCATAAACAAACTTTATATTGTCCTATCAGTAGTCTGCCATGTTATGCAAAGAAAGAATTATTCAGACTTTGGGATATCATGCAAGAAATAAATGATTTTCCTCTGTAGTTTTAAAAATATTATAGGAGAAAAGGTAGGCACAAAAAGACACACAAATGTTCGTCAGATACTTTGTTTAACTAGACCACTGGTGTCAAACTTGCGGCATCACGTTGCTGTCAGGTGGTGATTCATTTTTTCCCCCTTTGTATAAGTATAATCTTTATTATCCTTGTACTTAAATACAATAAAATTGGTACTTAAATACAACGAAATTGTGGAGCTGGGGTGGGTGTGGCCTGCATGTGATGCATCCAGCCGTCAGTTTGACACCCCTGAACTAGGCGGATTGCTGCACAGTACTGTCCATTTTATCTCCTTAAAACTATATCACTGATTTAAAGTCATTTATATACCCCTTATTGGAAATGGTTTTTGTGTGGTAATTGGTTAAAACAATACACCAATTTCTCTTTTTTTAAAATAAAAAAAACCCTGATTGGTGGTGTCAGGAAACCAGAAGCCAGGTCAGAGTTCAGAAAACACTTGAGAGTTTATTCCATGTAACCTATATATAAGAATCTGATCTACTAATGGTCAAGGCAAATTGGTGCCAGATAAGAGTCAATGGACTTGTGGGAGTGGAGATGGCTGGACTTGGGTCTCTTTTCGGGGTGTAGTGACTCCAGACTGACAATACTAAGACGGTACTTGACCCGGGCCTTGGGGTCAGGCTGCTCATCTTACAACTGGCTAGTTTTGGGTCATTAAAATAATGCTATATGTGCCATTCAAAAGTCTCCTGAACATCAAAGGGTGTCAGCCTCTGCTTTGCTATTTGTTTTCGGCTGCCATTGAAATGGGGAGGGGGGGGCTGGTATTTGGGAGAGGAAGATTTGGTACAGGAGAGATTGTTAAAAGGGAGTTAGTCAAGGTCAACCGTCCTGCATACCAACCTGATGGTGTTCCTTGGAGATGAAACCCACATGACACCTGAGGGATTTGCAGATTGGACAATGGAATGGAGGCTACAGGGGGGAGGGGGTTGGACAAATATTGATATGTATGATTTTGCACGCTTTTGCCTCAGACCTTGCTTTACGTAGCTGCTATCTTTTCATAACCAGTAAAAGTACACTTAATTCTGCAAAATGGAGTCAAGTGGATGGTGAGAACAAAACTCCCTTTTAACAATCTCTCCTGTACCAAATCTTCCCCCTCCCAAATACCAGCCACCCCCTCCCCATTTCAATGGCAGCCAAAAACAAATAGCGAAGCAGAGGTTGACATCGGGCTAATTTCCGGACAATGTGGTGACTAGTCTATAACCTTTAATATTTAATGACTTCTAAAAGCATGACCCTCTCACAACCTAGTCAGACAATTTTGCATCCTATAATTACAAGAATATTATAAGTTAATTTCAAAACTCTTCTCCCTCAGTGATGGTAGCAGCAATGTCTCTTACAGCACAAATAATTGCCAAGCTTTTTGACAGCATTTAAATTCAACAGTAATAAATCAATACAATAAAATATTATTTGCAGAGAGCACAAATGCTGTCATCATTCCTCCACCCCAAATATATATTCACTTGCTACCGAATAGTATGGACTATATAAAGAAAATTCTTTGTGATATTAGAAAGACTGATTCATCGGAGCTTAACAGTTTTGTAACAGGCTATTAAACAATCATATAACCACACTTCCAAAGCAGATTGACCAACCACCAAATACATCATTTGGTGAAGATACTCAGCAGCTGCAGCTAGGGAAATCCAAGAATTTGACAAATATAAGATATCTAATCATTCCCATTATATCAAAATAGTTATGAATGAGGCTACATTGGTCATAAAAATAAGAACGCAAAGCACAAACTAGTGTAATTCCACATGTGACATAATGCCTTTTGCAAATTATATATATTATATATATATATNAGGGGGGGGAAATGTTGCAAAAAAAATGTGCGGCTTATAACCCGATGCGCTTTATATATGAAAAAAGTTTGAAAAATTAACGTTAACTGATACTGCGGCTTATAATCCGGTGCGCCTTATGGTCGTGAAAATACGGTATATAAACTATAGCGAGGACAAGCCTTACATCTTTTTTCTCTGACAGCCCCAAATTATTGTAACGCCCCCTTCTGCCTCTTAATCTAGAAAAAGGAAATTTTGGCTATAGAAAATACGGGAAATCCTTGACGTATGACCACAATTGAGCCCAAATTTTCTGTGATTAAGTGAGACCTCTCTTAAGTGGGTTTTGCCCCATTTTACAACCTCCCTTGCTACAGTTGTTAACTGAACCACTTCATTCAGTAAATTAGTAACCTGGTTGTTAAGTGAAACTGGCTTCCCCATTGACTTTGCTTGTCAGAAGGTCGCAAAAGGGGATCACATAATCCCATGACACTGCAACCATCATAAATATGAATCAGTTGCCAAGCAACTGAATTTTGATCATGTGAAATGGGAATGCTTCAAAGGTTGTGACTATAAAAATAGTCATAAGTCACTTTTTTCAGTGCCATTGTAACTTTGAATGGTCAATAAATGAAATGTTGTAAGTCGAGGACTATCTGTACCAGTGGTGGGATACAACCGGTACACCCTGGTATGGGCGTACCGGTGCCTGCTGAAAGCACTGGGTACCATTCCGGTATGGTGCTCTGGAGGCCCACCTGCCCGCCCGTGCTCCTTATCAGCATTTGAGCTCTTCAGGGCTTCCGTGTATAGAGCGTATGGCGTCTGTGCAACGCTCCACCAAGCAGCTGCGGCATCCCAGAGCGTCGCAGGAGGTAAGTGCTCATGCGCGTTCTGCGTGCGTTCATGTGGTGGACGTCCAGCCTCGTTGCACCGTACTGGTTGCACCAGGATTTGGAACCCACCACTGATCTGTAATGTCAAGTTAGTGCCAAATCACATTACATTACCTGGATATTTGCAAATGTTGACTTTATGAGAGACAAACCAAAAATATTCATTATTAAAATATTATCATGCAACAGAAATAAAACAGACTTAGAAAAAAATGGCTATACAAAGTGAGAGGAAGAGTGAGAATATGCATCCTAGAAGCCCTGAAAGGAAGAAATGTAAACCAATGACACCAGGAAAACCACAGCATGATTCTGAAAGCTCTGCTTCAGTTTTCTTCCATCCACTCCAATTACTCATTCAATTCTATAACTGATACAATAAATCAACTATGTCTAATATTTGGCATATAGTATTCAAGTTAAAGGGACGTGGTGGTTCAGTGGCTAAGACACTGAGCTTGTCGATCAGAAAGGTCAGCAGTTTGGTGGTTCGATTCCCTAGTGCCACCTAACAGAGTGAGCTCCCGCTACTTGTCCCAGCTTCTGCCAACCTAGCAGTTCTAAAGCATGTAAAAAGGCAAGTAGAAAAATAGGAACCACCTTTAATGGGAAGGTAGCAGAGTTCTATGAGCCTTTGGTGTACAGTCATGCCAGCCACATAACCCTGGAGATGTCTTCGGACAGCACTTGGTCTCCAGCTTTGAAACAGGGATTGACCCCTATGCACCCTAGAGTTGTGAATGACTAGCACATAAGTGCGAGGCAAACCTTTATCTTTACCTTATTCATTATTTAAATGCCTTAATCAATATTTGGAAGAAGTGCTGGGTACCTGATAGAAGCACAGAATCCCTACTAATTAAAGCAGCCAATTCTTTATTTCAGGCTTTGACTATTTGAGCCTGAATAGATGTGTTTGTTTCAATTAGTAGCATTATCCAAAATTCATGCATAGCTCTGATGATCAACAAGGAATTCCACACATAATAAAAGAAGAANATATATATATATATATATATATATATATATATATATATATATTTGCAGAACTTGATTGCTGCTTCACTTCTTTCCAAACGGACCTTGTATATGGCAATAGCTTTCTGTGATTATTACTGGCCATTAAGCTATTCCTAAATGGAAAAGGTACTCTGGTAGTGGTAGTCCATGCAGTTTCAGGTTAACATAAAAATGTAATTCTCCTCCACTTTTACACACAATTTACGTATATTATTTCAAGTCAACTTAGTTGTGGAAAATACAGCTATGGTGAATTACTGTTTTCTGTTTAACTGGAACTTCAGTAATAACCAAGAGAGAGAAAATAGTACTGTAAGTTCAGTTTTCACAACATCCCATCTCTGTTTCTCTAATAGACCTGAGTGACATACTCAGTCCTGGGTCAGCTCAAACAATTTCACTTACTGGCGTCTAGCCTTCTTCAAGGTTCTTAACCATTAGACTCCTAGCAGAGGCCTAGAAAGGAGGAGAAAGAAAGAGAGAGAAAGGAAACATGCGCAGGAACGGATGCACCGTTCAATTGAAACTGCATGCTCATGCACTTATATAAAGGACATTGTGTTGAGCCGACTGTTGCAGAAATTATTGAAAAGAATCCATACTCTAGTATAAGACACTATACTTCATTTTTAAAGGGTATGGGACTGGTCTTCATTTACTGACTGCCTTGCTTAACAGCCATTTCAAGTTACAAAGATTGAGGAAAAACCTGCTTTGTGACCACTCCTTCCATTTACAGTCACTACAACATCCTGTCATGTGATTATCATTGGGATCTTTTGCAATCCTCACACACATTTACAACAATCACAACATCCTGCTGTCCATAATTGTCATTTGTGAGCTTCACAACTGTCTTCCAACAAGCAGAATTAAGGGAGAACATAGAAGTGAAATCACAAGCCATTAATTGAGATGTAACATCTTGCTCACTGTCCACCGTGATTGCTTAATGGTGGGAGAGAGACTGTGATTATTTTGCTTAGAGACCAGGACACTCAGTAACAAGTTTCCAATCCCAAGTATTGC